TCCAATGGGAAACCAATGCAGCAAGTATTTTGGCTTCCAGTTGATGCCAATTGGTTTAGTTTGGCAACCCAACTTCAGGTTAGGTGGGTTGAGAGATTACACATGATTTTTTTCGACAAAATTATTACTAGCTGCTACTTTTGCAGGAGTTGGACTTAGTTTTGCAGCAATGTCTTAATGAGACATTCTGTCTTCCTACAAAGCCAAAAGTTGTATATGGATTGAGAGGCTCTACTGCTGATATATTTGTTGATAATGCAGCCTATAGGAAATTCCTTTTCAACAAATTCAACATCTCAACTGTCGATGAAGAGAGTTCTGCAGTTGTGATGGTTAGTCAAATTGAAAAATAAACATAAAATCAATAGATGATCTAAACAGCAACTGTTTGTAATTGACTCTCCTTGACCATGTTATGCAGACATCTATAACAAATGGAGTGCCTTGTATAGTGTTCCGCGGTGTATCAGATTTGGCAGGGGCCGGAAACAAACTGGAATCAACAAGCTCGAGTTCTTTAGCTGCTCTTAATGCTCTTGCCGTTGCAGTTGAATTTATCTGCTTAGTTGGGCAGCAGCCAAATCTCAGGCACGATGACTAGAACTCACTACTCAGCATCATTTATGATCCCAACAATTCATCACATTCTGTTGGAAGATCTTATTTGTTCAATCTTATCTTCCTCCCCTGTGTGTCATTGGTAAGCAAAGGAGAATATCCGAAGGGAAATTGGATTCTTTTGATTGATGATGGAATAAACTCACTAAACAATTGATTATTAAGAAATGATCTTCTTGGGGGCATGTGAGTATTGGGCTTAGAGAATGGAAGTTGTTAAGAACTTGGTCACAAGCATATTTTATTTTCAAAATGATCACGAACCTGAGTGGAAAACTCATGAACTAAGCAAATTTATGCTTTCATTTTTCTTAAGTCAGCTGTCTCTGTCCAAGTGGGAACTACAGACGACTCCAGTGGTTCCATTCCTTCTTACTGGACATCTGGGTCATTTCCATATTTATAAAGAAATCACACATTTGAAACCACACAAATCACTTCAACAATGAATGGAATTATTTCTACTTCCAGCATGAATACAGGCGCAAATTCAATCATCTTATACACGTTTAGAAAACCAACCAACTTATTCATAATGCTATTGTAAAACTGGACAAGTCTGATGACCAGCAATTGTATCCAGCAAATCGCCACAACAGTTGAACCATACAACCAAATAACTAGCTAGCGTTTGAGGTAAAAAAAATCCAAACTAGCTTATCATATATATATATATATATATACAGAAAATTAGGTGATCCATATTTGAGAGTACTAATCCCCAAGGAGATTAGGTTTTGGTATCACCTGCAGCAGCTTGTGAGGACTCAGAGGTATGAACATGGGCATACCCTTCACCAGCGTTCTTTCCCTGTTCTTCCTCGATTATTTTTTCGTTGGTCTTCTGCCCCAATTCTCCAGCAGCTTTGGTGACTTTATTGAAAGCACCAGTAACCCATGAAACCCCAGTCAAAACATGTCGGTTCTTCATGATGGTTGATCCAGCATTGCTAACCGTCTGCTCAGCAGCTGTAAAAGTTGATTTTGTCTTCTCAGAAACCTGAAACTTCTGGTCCATTTCCTTTGCTCTATCATTTACCATGGTCGCCCCCAAGCTGATTTTCTCACTCAATCCAATCTTTTGGTCCAAAGAAGCTACTTTAGCTGAAGCAGTGGAAGTGAACTGGTGCTTCTCATCAAAATCCTTGGCCTTGTTAAGCGTATCCTTCCCCAAGATAAAGCCCTTTGCCAGCATGCTGCTGACAACATCTTCTGCCTTTTGGATCGCAGATCCGGTGTTACCTTCATACTTGATTTCCGCAGCCTGAATGCATAAACAGTGCAGCTGAATGAAAACCGTGCATCATGTGAATGAAAATTAAATAAGATGTCAAAAGATCAGACACCAACAGATGCTGTAGCTGGAGGCGGCAGTATATAATCTGGAGCGAGGGCTATGTCAACTGATTGATCAACAATGCTGGATCCCTGAAAAATAATATGTGCTTATCTTCAAAAGTGAGATTACAAGAAATTCGATAACGAGGCCATACAAACTAAAGAGGAGGCTTCTGAACTAAAAAAATTATTTCAGCATAAGACCAAGATGTGCACATAGAGTAAAATGGAGGATTCAGATATTTACAAGAGCAAATTTCTTCTGAAACCTCGATCAGTATCATAAACCATTTTCAAGATAACAATCCTTAATTATGACCTTGGTTTCAAGAAAAAATTGATTACAACTGTACATAATAAATTTTATAGCCAACTTCCATCATTAAATAATTTTAGCAAGAGAAACACAAAACTGAGAATCTAATTATGACAAACATCCACCAACTTAACTTGATTTGAGTATTATCCTGTTATACACTAAAAAAAGTTCAACAAAAATGTTTCAGGTCAACTAGATAGGCTTAAGAGAGTAATGGAACCTTATTCTCCTGTTAACAATAAAGCAATAATATCTGTATGGACTCTCCTCATATAAATGCTGAATTTATGTGAACAATATGTAAGGTAACAAAGACAAATGAATCAGTAAATTGTTAAGCAAAGTTACCGATAAAAGAACTGCCATCTCTGCACCGTCAGGATCCTTGAAAGTAACAAATGCAGTTTGAGACCGCTCATTCTCACTAGAAATACATTGAAGATGAAATGACGTGATTCTTAGGGAAATAATTGCAACCACTTAGGTTAAAAAAAGGTGCTCGTGAAGGGAAGATAATAAAATACTGGAAACAAATATGAATGCAAAAAAACTTGAAGCATTCACAATTTAACCTTTTTATTTCAATAAATTCAATCTCCCCGGAATAGGAAAAGAACTCCTTGATGTCTTGTTCAGAAGCACCTAATGAGAGATTGCTCACTTTCACTGTTTTGACCTGCCATGCAAAGAAGCCAATAGAATTAGAGAGACGGGAGGTTTCATGCATAAGATCACAACCTCAAATAATTACCAACCCCAAAAATGTTTTTATTTTTACTCATATTTGGTGTGTGTGTGTTGGTTGGGGAGGGCGTAGGGGAGTAGTCTCTCAGTGTCTGCGCCGAACAGTGAACGACAGATTTTTTAAATCTTTTAAAGAGGGGGTTGGAGGAGTATACAGTGTGAGACTATTTCGATATTTTGTCGACTAACGTTTAAATGTACTTTTATTGATTTCGAGTACAAAGCCTTTTAATCCAAGCAAGCACACACAGGACTGGAGTTCCTCAAGGCCTAATACACAACTGGGATGACACAGAACTTTAAAGCAAAATAAGGAGATTTTAAGCACTTCCAAACATGCTGAGTCCAGGCAAAAATATCAGCGTTGAAGTTATAATGCTAGGATCAATGTCGGAATGCATTCCGAGTGTTTTCAAAGAGTTTAATATATTACTGTGACAAGTAAAGCCACATTAAAAGGTCTACTAAGCTTGCTGCAATACAAAGAAATACAAAGAATTGAACATTAAAACATGTTTTCTGGGTACATGCCTTTTCTTGATGCAATATGCTACCAAATGAAAATTATGGATATTCAACTCATGTTAACAAAACTTCATAACAAATATTGCTTATCAATGCATTTGATCTTGGATTACTAGGAGGAAAGGGAAAATAAAAAGAATGAAACTGCAATTCTATTTTATTTTTCTGAATACAACTGCAATTTTATTAAATATGTAGAATTTTTTCATTAATTAAATGATACAGAGGTATGCAGGATTATTTTCTTGTGGTGGAATAGTTCCAGACGAAACTTACATATTCTGAAAGGATCATCAACTTAATCCAATTAATCATATCGTAAACAATTCCTTTTAAAGATATTCTCCAAGGCGGTGGGAATGAAGAATAATTCTCTGCGGTCCGCAAAATAGCGATTTCTTATAAAATGCTTAATGCGATTTTAATTGGGAATAGGAGAGAACATGACAGGAGAGAGGTCGCTGGCGATGCATCAATTTTAACTTTCTATCACGAAAAATATATTCGTAAAATGCATATTACAAGTCAGAAAAGATGGATAGAATAAAGTAAATTTATGAACAGTTGAGCTCAGGAGAATCCATTGCTGCTCCAAACACCACTCTTCAATCAACAATGAAATGCTTTGCAATTTGCAAATCGTTAGATAGAACTTTGCTCACCCATCAAGTTAGACAAATCCATGCGCAAATGCTCCGAAATGGCCTCCTTTTTGATCCCTACCCAACCAGCAAATTCATTCAAGCGTCTGCTTTGTCTCAATTCTCCAGCATTCAGATTCCCGCTCAGTGTTCGATCAAATGCCCAACCCAAATCTCTTCTCTTGGAACGCCCTTATTCGTGCCTACTTTTCAAGTCCCTAACCTATTCACAGCTTCTTGATGTTCATTCGGTTAACTTATTTGTAGTGAGAATCCATATCATTTCGTGGGTAGCGAAGTTGGAGGATTTTGTTGCAGCTAGAAATCTTCTTGATGCAATGCAATGACAATCCTAAGGAAATTTTAGCCATTTTTAATAAGTTGCAGCTTAGCAAGAAGACTATGAATTTGGGTGGGTGGATCCATGTCTACGTAAATGTTCTCTCATTACTGTGTTGACTCACGTGTATTACAAGTGTGGGGATTTGGAGAAGGGGCTTGGAGTATCTCATTAAGTTGACGAGAGAAGTGTTTGTATGGAGTGCTACGATTGTTGGTTTAGCAATGCTTGGTTTTGGCTGGGATGCAATAGAATTGTTCTCGAAGATGCAAGAAGCCAAGATTGAGCCTAATTATTCCGTAACTTCTACCAATTTATTGTCGGCCTGCAGTCCCTCAGAACTAGTTGAGGAAGAGATTTTTTCCACCAAATGGGGCTACTTGATAACATTGTTCCTGGTGTGAAGCACTATACTTGCATGGTCGATATTCTTGTTCGAGCACGGTCCGCTGGAGGAAGCTAAGGAGTTGTTTCGCGCGGGTTAAGTCGCTAACAATTAAAAAGGATCAGACGATTGTGTAAGGGACGAAACCTCTTGAGACAAAGTCCCAAAAATGGGTGTTCTTTTATTGGCGATGAACTTTACAATTGGGAATGAAAAACAACGTGCCTCCAAGGGGCGCAAGCACACGAGTTACAGAAAGAAAAATGTTTAAGTCTAAAAGCTAAGGAAATGAAAGTTACATATTCTCTGTTCGAGAGTTTTGGATTCGGTCCTTTGCTTCTGCGTCCTTTCTCCCTTTTATACCTCATAGACGATCTCTTTGTGATTAACTACCCTAAAAACTGTTTGATCGTCCTATAACCACCCACTTTCTTTGTAGTGGCCATTTTGTCATGAAACTGCCTTTTAACTGCTGCCATTATCTTTCATCGTTCAACTGCTTTCGATTGAATTCCTTGAGTCGTGGAACGTGATAAGGCTACTTTAACAACTGCCTTGATAACTGCATTTTTTGATAACCACGATGCGTTATATTTGTTGATACCTTGGGCGACTTGAAGGTTTGGGCGAGAGTAGAATAACAGCTCTGGGCGACCGTATGACACTCCATTCGTTCAGATTCTGGGCGACTTACAAACTTGGGCGATGGCGTTACCGCATTCTTGGGCCTTCACCTTGATTCATTCGATTGGACTTCGTTCTTTGGGCTATCCGATTTGGGGATCCTTCAATTGGGCTTTACTCCTTGGGCTGTTCGATTTGGGCTGAATATTTATGTGTCAACAATTACTCCCCAATATGGCAGAATTAATAATAATTATTGAATTTTGCCATATTCACTTCATGTTTCCAGCGACGTTCGAAATTCCCAAGAATTTCAATCATTGTCTCCTTCTATAACTTGAAAAAGTGTGTCGTTTTGCAAATCCTTATAAACCCCAAACACGCCATTTCACTGCTACCAAACCACGCCTCATATTTTCTGCATCTCTTTCACGATTCACTGTTCATCTTTTGCTTCCTTGTTACGTAACCCTGAAAAGCTTCGTTCATTCTCCAATGGCTGCTTCACAATCTCAAGTTAGCGATTCCTTTAATTTTGATGACTTTCAGAAACTGCTGAGTCGCCCATACATAACCCCAAGTTTTCTCGCGCCTGCCGACGTTGGACGTAATGAGTTTTACTTGGGTCCTTTCTTCAATAATGCGGAGGCAGTTGAACAGGCGGCGGTGGGTCAGCTGTTTCCTTGCAATCATGGCCCTCCTTTTCTAAACTCTCTGCCGTTGGGGCCATTTCGCGAAAGAGGTATTCGCACTTGGCCTAAATCTGATGTAGCTTTTCGTAGGTGGCATGCTCGCCTTGTGGGTCATGGTCCTACTAAGGCACTTTTTGATAGCGCTAGGATTTCTGATTTGTTAGAAGTCTCTATTCGCCCCCCTACTTTTGATTCAGCGCTCTTTCCGATTGCTTTGAGTTTTTGGTCCCCTGAGTACAACACCTTTATTTTTCCTTTTGACCCCATGTCTATTACGTTAAGGAATGTTGGGGCCCTGGTAAATTTACCACCTTTGGGCGATACCATTTTCCCAGGCATCTTAGTTTCTGGTGGCGCCCCACAGTTCGGTAAAAACTACACCGATTCTTATTCAAGCCTGCAGACCCTCCATAATCATTCGAGCACTGAGTCTACCCATGCTGAGCGAGTGGCCTTTCTTTTAGTTTGGCTTTGTAAATATGTTTTGTG